TTTTTTTTTTTTTTTTTTTTTTTTTTTTTTTTTTTTTTTTTTTTTTTTTTTTTTTTAGCAACTTGATACTTAAATTTTCGAACGAAACATTGTCTTTGACAAGCCTATCTGCTTACATATTTGTTTGTCGACGATATACATGAACAAACCTAACACAGAAATCACAACATTCCACTCTCACTTCTCTCACCAATCCCATTTAATAACATTAAGTGAATCTCTTTCGATAATCATAGGTTTGCCAAATTGCTTATCTAATTTAACACCTTGAAGCAATAACTTCATCTCCGCTTTATTTATCGTTATGTTTCCTGCAATCCCAAAAAAAAAAAAAATTAGACAGGACATTTCCAAAACCATCACGAATGATACCCCTAATCCCTGCGGGTCCAAAATTACTCGTAGAACTACCATCAAAATTCGTTTTTATCTATCCTTCATCTGGTTTCTTCGGAATACCTACTCTAAATCTCTTTGGAACACGTCTCTCACTTGCATTCTCACATAACCTTCCAAACTTTTTGATTTAAGGGGAGGTTTTTCATTTTTTTCCCTACTTTTTGAACTAAGCATCTAAAAAACCTGAGGTATTTTAAGTTTTAAATAAGGTATTGGATTATTTAATTAGGATTTATATAATATTAAGGATATAGAGCTTTAGGTTTTGTAAAAAGAAAAGCCTCAAGTCAAAATTTTGTTTGGAAAACATTTCACGCATAGAAAATCTTTTTGATGGCTTTAAAATCAAATTTTGCCACTGATTATGAATTTTTAGCTCAAAAAATGGTACAAATCATGTAGATATGTGAACACTTGAAAATGGACCGTCTAGATAATTTGTTCTAATATACATTAATTGTAGAGCTTAAATTTATATATTTTTCTTTACAAGCATAATAATAAATGTCTAGATGATTCATTTGACTGTTTTTAAACACCATAATTATAATATTTTGTGGGTTTTGAGGTGAAGCTCTATTTTTTACAAAGCGCTAGCCTTATTCGAACCTTTTCCATGTTTTAGTTGGAATTAAGATTTCTTATTTCTAAGATTGACCTTTCATTACAAATAATGGTGGTAAGTATGGTTTTGTATAGATTTTAGTTACTATTTAGAACTATTATTTTCTTGAATTATTGTGAATTCTACGTAACCATTGACGCAAGGCTTGTTAGCTTATTTTTAATTTCAAATCAATTTTATCAATTATTTAAAATATTTTATATATATTTTTTTTTCTTGTAGGAATCTATGCTAGTATAATAATTTGATAGCTTTTCAACGAAGTTTAGAACTTTAGGTACTATTTCTTAAAGAAAGGAGATTCATGAATACGCACCTAAAGAAAGTAAAAAATAAACAAGCCCTTCAAGGTATTTTCCAAAAGAAATAAATTTGTAGGGCCCACATGAGGCTAAACCCCCTTAACATAGAGAATGAGGAAGAAAGAGTGAATTTCCTTTGTGGGATAAACATATGGGGAAAAAAGTTTTGCACCAAAAATTAATGGAGATAACTCCCAATTTAAATTGTTATAATTATCATTAAAAATGAAGTGAAGTGAATATTGTTTAATCATACTTTGACATCTCGTCCATAAGAAAGAAGGAAAAAGTTTTATATAAGGGCGAGGAGGTTTGTTTCAATAGGCAAAAATTCTCAAATTAATCATCTCAACCTCAAGATATACGGACATAAAAAAAAAAGGATTTAAGTCTTGAAAAGAATGCATCTTGTAATGCATTTTTGGACCGTGAACTTTTAATATTTTCATGTGTTCATAGATTTCCTTAATCTACACTACGTTTTAAGCTTTAAGTTTTATAATTAGATATGAAAATAAAATTTCAGGCCATCACAACGATTTTCATTATTGAAACAACGTCTTTCGACACTATTTGAAGGTGCGCCTTACTTTGATGATTTAGTTCCTCGGCGTTGTACAAACCACACCCTACGAAGAATAGTATAACAAATTCTCATAGACTAAGCATAGGAAATTAGAACTATGGAAGTTTCACAAAATCCCTAGCATATTTTCTCAAAATATATATACACGGTTGAAGCCTGAAATCATCTATCTAGTTTTCCAAAGTCATGAGATGAGGCATGGTTAAAATGGAAAATGGCATGGGCATGGTGATTCAACTGAGATATTAGATAAGAATGGCTTTTAAATTTTTAATTACAAAAACAATGTTATCATTTTAATTAATTACATTTGAAATCATTCAAAATTAGTTTTAAAGCTATTTAATTTTCTAATATTTTTCTCTATCTTTTTTTTTTTTTTTTTTTTTTGACTTTTCAAGTTTCTACTTTTCTAGTTTTCTAGTTCTCTCACTTTTTTTTTTTTGAATGGAAAAATAACATTGCTAAAATTCGAACCAACAACTAGTTTTCTAGTTCTCTCTCTATCCATCAGTCTATGATTTCCAAACACACGTACTCACCACAATTTGTAATATAAATAATATAGATATTTTTCTTGTAAAATTTTATAAATAGATAATCAGATCAAAATTGGTTTTAATTTAGACCATTGGGGTTCATTCCGCGAATTTTGAGTTAGCATTTAAGCAAGTACCTCATTGAAAGATCCAACCCCATGTATCATACATGGATTTTACTTTTAATAAGCCAAGTTAGCATATCATCATTCTAAGAAAGTGAAAATATCATTGTAATTAGATTTTTTATGTGAGCTTTTAATTAGTAAAATCTTTCATAGAAATTATAGTAGCTATGATTTTTAAATGTTTAGCTGCATGCTTTGGGTTAACCTATCCATGCATATTTGGAAATTATTTTTGAATATTTTTATTAGGTGCACTTATATTTCAAGAGTATAGACTCAAACTTTCAAGTAATTTGGATTTGTAATAAAAATAAAAAACTCAAATTAAAAAACAACACAATCTGATCGGCCCATATTGAATATGAGACATTGGGTGTATAGTATTGCATTAACCGTTAGACAGACAAAATCTTTTTCCTATATATATATATATATATAGAGAGAGCCAAGTATCTCAAAAGAGTTTTAAAAGCATATTAAAACTCTAGGTTTATTCATGTCTTTTTTTTAAAAAGATTTGTGCTTTTATTAAATCGAACAAATTCGTGTTATGCGAACTATTAGATAAACCGGTTTAATATGTTATGTTTCTAATAACATTAGTAATTTCTACTATTTTCAAAATCAACACCTTCAATGAGATATTCAATTCTTGTCAAATTGTATCTTCTCCCTCTTTCTTATCTACATCCAAACTAATATTTCCAAAATTGATTGTGAATTGGTTTTAAATGCATTCATTCATCATAAAAAAACAATGGAAATATAGAAAAAACAAAAAATAAAAATACATGCATACTTCACCGTAAAGTACTAGAGAAAGAATAAGTCAGAAAACCAAGAGAAAAACAACAATCTACATACTTGAATCAATTTAGCGAAGAGATGAATTCAACTCGAATACTTAGGAATTGCAGAAAACCTTGACTGCTATAATAAATAGGGTAACGTGCCTCCTTTAGAAAACCCCATTGCGAATATATACCCCTTCCAATAAAACCCTAATCTATTATAAAATCTTGATCGTTCATCTCATCTAATGTTTTTGCAAATATTATTTAAGAAAATAGAAGTTGTCCCCTACTGAAAAGTAATGAACCTAGAACTCAGTAAGAGTAGTAAACTTATGACTTTGAAAAAAAAAATGGAAAAATACA